AGTGAGTTCCAGGAAAGGCGCAAAGCTACACGGAGAAACCCTGTCTCAAAAAAACTAAAAGCAAAACAAAACAAAAAAACCCCAAACAAACAAAAAAAATAAGAAAGGAAAAAGAGAGAAATTGGAAAAGTCCAGAAATAAGTATATCAAAATGTGAACAGTTATCTTTATTTTTCCTCTTTTTGAATGTAAATTTTTAAATGTTAAAATATATGCATTTTTTATTTTACTTATTTTTATTTTTTAGGTACAGGCTTACTTTTTAGCCTAACTCTATAGTCCTCCCTCTGTCAGTTTCCCCAGTGCTGGGATGACACGTGTGTACAACCATGCCAGCTGTAATTTTTACACGCACGCACGCACGCACGCACGCACGCACGCATGCACTCAGAGTCCTGGCTGTTCTGGAACTCACTCTGTAGACCAGGTTGACCTCAAACTAATAGAGATCCGCCTGCCTCTGCCTCCTGAGTGCTGGGATTAAAGGCATGCATTATCACACCTGGTCTATATTTTATGTTTTTGAATAGGTTATACATGCAACCAATTTGTCCTTTCTGTACCTGCCTCCTTATTTTACATATTTGGATATACTTTCTAATAAAGACGACGTATGATCATTTACATCCTTGTGAAGGACTTTCTGTAGCCTCCAGAGCAGTGTGCTGGGACAGTGCCTTCCTGCCCTGCCCCTGCCAGCAGTCCTGGAATGAAGAACTTTCTGTACCTTTGAGCAGTGCACTAGGACAGTTCCTGCCAAAGCTGTGTCACTCCCAGGCCCCACACCCCAGCACTCCTGGAAGTTTGTTTTTTCTCCCCCTTCCACAGTTTTTCCCCTGGTTTTGCTTTAGTAACTAGGTTGGCCTTCCACTCTCCATCCTGCTGCCTCAGCCTCCCAAGTAGCTGATTACAGGTGAGGTTTTAACAGGTGTCCTTATTCCTGTCAGTACAATGACCCCTGAACTTGCTGGGGTGCTTTTTTTTTTTTTTTCATGTAAACAGTGGCTTCTGTTCCTTTAAAGGACACAAGAGGGCAGTATGGGATGCTTTTTCCTTTCTGTGTACCCTGAAGTGGCCTTCCTTAATCTCTTTTTTTTAACTTTTTTTTTCTCTGTGTTTCTTTTCTTTTCTTTCTTTCTTTCTTTCTTTCTTTCTTTCTTTCTTTCTTTCTTTCTTTCTTTCTTTCTTTCTTTCTTTCTTTCTTTCTCTATTTATTTATTTATTTATTTATTTTTTTTTGCTGAATGCCATTTATTGAAGGGGGGAGGAGGTCTTAAATACAGGCTTACAGCACAATGGGAGAACCCCAGAGGGCAGAAGTTTGCTATGGATGTTTTACAATCATGCATCTAAGCTGTTAATGCCCATTATGCAGGATACACAGACAAGGAACTTCCCTTAAGCATTCAGGAGGGTGGAACCTGGCAGGGAATTAGCATAGGGAGGATATTAAGGTCAAGATTAGCAAGCAAGGCAACAGTTACCCAAAATGGGGCCCAGGGCCCTACAGGTCCCCCTTTTACTAAAATGAGCTTCTGACTTAGGTTGTGTGGGACGTCAGCAGGTCACCTTACCCATCATGGAGACGCCTGCCCAGGCCACACAGGCGCTCTGTCTTAGGTTGGTGAGTGCCCCCCAGGCATTACCCGTCTCTGAATACTCATTATCATACAGGCTCAATTGTGTGTGAGCTGTAGAATTAACTGCTGCCAAAGGTCTCAAAGTGGTGCTGGGCTTTTATTTTTTTTCTTCGAGACAGGGTTTCTCTGTGTAGCTTTGTGCCTTTCCTGGAACTCTCTTTGTAGACCAGGCTGGCCTCGAACTCACAGAGATCCACCTGCCTCTGCCTCCCGAGTGCTGGGATTAAAGGCGTGCACCACCACCACCACCACCACCACCACCACCACCACCACCACCACCACCACCACCGCCAGGCCCTTAATCTCTTGCTCTCAGATGAAATGTCCTAATTCTCCACCTCCTGCCTTGCAGGATATCATTAACAACACATCCCTTGCTGAGTTGGAAAAGCGGTTAAAAGAGACACCCTTTGACCCTCCTAAAGTTGGTAAGAATATTAACCTTCAATATTAACCTTGAAGACCTGAAAACTCTGGAAATTACCGATATGTTCTGTAGAAAGACTATGAACCATCTCTGAAACTGTATTGCCTTCTTTGTAGACTGTGGCTGGGTTGTGCCTGTGCTGGATTGCTGTTTTCTGAGTAAAGATGGTGTCCTGATTCCATATCTAGCTACATCAACATCATGTTAATAGAATTGGGTAGGGATTCACTGAGAAGTTTCAAGACTTTTATTTCTTAACGCTTGGAGTTCTCTCAAAATGTGATGTGTCCTTTCATATGGTGTGTTGTTTGAGCAGAGACAGAGTCAGTGACTAATCATCAGAAATGCAACAAAAACATCTACTGTCTCAGAAAACCCAAGAGCTGGGATGCTGCTGAGAAAAGAGCACACCTCTGTGTCCTTGGAGCTAGTTTGGACCAGAGAAACAATGTCATTGAGGAAAGCCAGAGGTCAGGAGGAGCACTTGGTATCAGATGGGTTGTGTGGGTGTGTGGCCTCCACCCACGTGTTTTGGGACACTGTGTCCTTGGTCCTGTCACCCACATTGTGCTGCTGACCTGTAGTTAGCATTCCATTAGCTGTGGCTAGAAAACTGCTCAAGACACTGATAGCAGCACTAATGATTCAGAAATTGGTGATGGGAGGTCCAGGGCAGGCAGAGCCATAGGTATTTGCTTTCCTTTTGGGTAATAGTCCAAGAAAGGAAGTACAAAGATGCTGGGTGGATAGAGGGAAGGAAACTCATGCCTGGGGTATAACAGTGTAATGGAATAATTGATTTGTGGAGTGGTGAGCTTCAGCAGGTGTTGAGGATCTTACTTAAGTGCTACAGTGTTAAAAGGCTTTCTTAGGAAGTGTCAAACCCAATGTTTAGATCATAAGAAAGTGAAAATGTTCTTGCACAAAGAGCATTGTTTTGGTATGAAAACAGCTTCCAGTCATTCCATCAGTATTTTCTGCCCATTCTTCTGATGAAGCGATGGCCTTTCTAACATTTATTTTCAGATTGATTCTAGGAAATAATTACTTTTGAATAAGAGCTGTATCCTATCCTATTATTTTCATATTTCTCTGGTAGAGAATTTACTCAAAAGCAGATTACTCTCACATTCTCTCAGTACCTGTGTGTATCAGCGTGACTAAGCATTATCTTATAAAATGATTTTTGTAGTGCAGTGGCCCTGTGGACTAAGGGCAGTGTTACAGCAAGTTCTCATCTATCTTGGAGGTGAAGTATGCTGTTGTCTTTAAATTGCTAAGCTTGGAAACAGTTGAGGACCGTGCCAGTAGTGAGTTGAACTATTTAGTTTTATGGGAACTATTTGTGATACTAATGGTTATGAACATATGACATGTGCCAAGCACTAGATGAAACTTTTAGCAATACCATGCCATTTGATGTTCCCCAAAAGCCTAATGAGGGAAGGTTGATTATCATCTCCTTTTTATAAAACTTGGGGCTCAGAGGTGAAATCCCTTGCCTAGAGTCACATTGCATGTGAGTGATGGAGTAGAGATTCAGATGGACACTGTATGACCTCTAGGTCCTACTGGATTTTTATAAGTTTATTGTTTATTTAATTATTTGTAAAGATAGGGTCTGTCTTTGTAGCCAAAGCTGGGCTAGAATTCACTATTTAGCCTAGGATAGCCTCAAACTTGCTGTGGTTCTTCTGCTTCAGCTTCTCAAGTACAGAGATTGCAGGTGTGGCCACCATGCCTAGCTTGGAGTCTTGCTTAATCTGCTGTGTCCTACATGTATGGTAAGAACAGCACAGTGGAAATGTCACAGGATGGGAAACACAAGATTGCAAATGGCCCCAACCAGTGTAGCTAAGGAAGCCAATAGCTGAACCTTGGTAAGGAAACCGACCTTTCTCTGGTCTGAACTGAAATTCTCATTTTCAGGGACTTTGTCATATAATATTGTAAGGTCTTGTGTGGACGTGTTTCCTGTGTCTTCCAGCCACATCTGCATCTGCAATACACCAGAATGCAGTTTGGGTTTGGCAGGACACCGTGCTTACTAGTTCTTGTGTTTGGTAATGCTCTGGGGAAAGTTGATGGTTCTTTTTGTTTCTCTTTAGAAAGTGCAGAAGGCTTTCCAAGCTATGACACAGCTTCTGAGCAGCTCCACGAGGCAGGGTATGACGCTTACATCACAGGACTCTGCTTCCTCTCCATGGCAAATTACCTAGGTACTTGAGCTGTGTTTCTGTTAAAAAGAGTGGGTCTCACCTGTTTCCTCTTAGCTCAGCCTGGTGTGACAAATTTCCAAAGACCAGGCTTAGATAACAGACCCATGTTTCTGATGGTTCTGGAGAGTAGGAAGTCCAGATTGAGGACCCATCCCCAGGCACCAGCTCTCAGTTGTCACTCACATACCCTCACATCGTGGAGTTCTAGGGAGAGGAAGCACCCACGCTTCTTGTGAAGAACCAGTTCCCTCCTTACCTCCCAAATAGCTCATTCATGGATACCATTGTTTGGGACTCAGCTTCCATGTGAGAGTGGGGTAGGGACGACAGTCTGTGCATCACAACCACTGTCCTAGGATCTGGCCACCCTGAGAGAAGCAGGAGGGTTTTGAGAGGGGAGCTGGAGGAGATGAGGAGGGGACACACAGGAAGGAACTGCTGACACTTGCCCATGGACGTGTGTGGACCCTCGCTGAATGTGACACACTTGTGTCTGAGGTTCCGCACTTTGACCACGTGCTGTGTGTAACACCTGCTTCTCTTCACTAGGTTCTTTACTCGGTCCTCCAAAAGTGTGTGTATCCACCAGATCAAAACTCATTGAACCCTTTTTTAACAAGTAAGTAATCAGAGGGTTACAGTCCTGGTTTCTCACATTGCTCACAAGCCCCATGTCTTGGGAGATAGGGAACTAGGGTACATTTTTGTTAAATATTTCTCATCTTTAGTAGCTCAGATTTTTTTGAAAGTAGAAATTGAACTTTTGGGAAATCATTTCTCAAATATACTGGCTTAAAAAAGAAACTAAAGAGGCTGGGCATGGCACACCCTTAATCCCAGCACTTGGGAGGCAAGGATAGGCAGATCTCTGAGTTCAAGGCCAACCTGGTCTACAGAGCAAGTTCCAGGACAGCCAGGGCTACACAGAGAAACCGCGTCTCAAAAAACAAAAACAAAACAAAAACCACAAAAAAAACTAAAGAAAACATTGCTAGTGGTAGTGTATCTCTTCCAAGAAAAATGTGATGGTGGTTTTGGCATTTAAATTACCTTCAAGGGATGCTTGTGTTTATAGCTAAACCCACCCCCTAGTGAACTTTACATGTGACATTATTATTTATTGTGTTTGCCTTATTAACTGATTACATGTTATTTCTAAGGCAATGTTTGATGAATGGGTGCACTAATTCATGAATTCTTTACTGTCATTGCATGCTCATCGGCTCTCTGCTCATCTCTTTCGTTCTGTGGTGCTGGGGATTAAACCATGGTCTCATGTATCCTAGGCAATGCGCTATTGTTGATCTCATCCAGTGAAGGAAAAGCTTGTTCCTACATTCTGCATTGTCATAAGGAGTCATTGCAATTTCTGAAGAAGTCTTAAGTTCAGAGCATTTTTCAAGAATCTCAAAGATTGTTATTTCAGAGTGTGGGTTGTGCTTGCTTGGCAAGGTTGTGACTAAAGTTATGATATGATGCTTAGGCAGCCAAGTCCGGCTGTATACCACAGCTCTCGGCCTTTGTCTTGGCCTCAGCTCTCTTAAGAGTTGATACTCGATTCTGTATGAGCTAGACAGAATGAGGCAGCTCACTTCTACCATTGTAAGAAATAGCTGTTTCAGTGTTGGTGGTTACATCATTTCCATCCATTATGTGCAGCACATTACAATCGTATCGTGGCTTTACTAGGTAGGATAGTGTTTCCTTAGGGTACCTATGTAAGTGATAGTTCCAGACTTCCGTACCCAGTATGCCATGGAGACAGCTACTATTCCAACTGTCACAGGCTCTGGACTGTTATTCTCTGAGCTAGTGAACTTCATTACATTGTGGTTTCCTTTATCATCTTCTTTTCTCACTCTCTTCCGTTATTACTAATTTAATATGCGAGTGTTTTGCCTGCATGTATGTTTGTGCACCGTGTGTGTGCCTGGTACCTACAGAGACCAGGAGAAGTAGTCAGATACCGTGGAACTGAAGTTACAGATGGTTGTGAGCTGCCACGTAGATGCTGGGAACTGAGCCTAGGTCTTCTGGAAAAGCAGCCAGTGCTCTCTCCAGTCCTCTTTCTTCTGTTTTTGTTGTTATTTTATTTGGAAGTTCAGAGGAAATATGTATGAAGTTGACAGCCTTTTCAAAAGTGGGTTAGGTCACAGTGTGATGTATATTGGAAATTAAGTTGAATTTTTTTGCATGGAAAATGAGTTGTGGTGTCCAAGTCTTTTATGTCTGTCCAGTTCAATAAGAGTTGGGGGGAGGGGAGTGAAAAACCATTTTCTTAGCGTTTATCTCTTATTTTAGAGTCATGTTTATCTTTGTAATTCTTCCGAAATCTATGCCACTGGTGAAAATAAATGTGGTTTAAGTTTTAATCATTCCTTACAGTTTTATATACATGAAATTACATTCACTGTTCTACAATATTTTTCAAATTGGAAATGTTTAGCTCCTGCAGATATTTGAAGCAGCAGTTCTGTGATTCCTTACAAAGTCAGATGTGATGGGTACAGACTGGGTCAGATGGAGATGGCATCTAGCTTCTGAGTCACGTGTGTGCCTAAAAGCATAGCGCTGAACAGCCTGCTCAAGAGCTTTTCTGCAAGAATGTATTGCAGATGCTGTGCAGCCTTCTGATTTAGGAACCTGACAGAACTAGTTGTGGTTCACGCCGGTACTCCAGTACTCAGGAGGCTGAGTCTGAAGCTAGATCTGAGCTGCATAGTAAGTTCTAGGCCTGTCTAAGCCACAGTGTAAAACCATCTCCAACAAAAACAGAAAAATGGAAGAGCTGTATGGTAAATACCTAAGGCATCATTTAATATGAGAACATCTGTCCATTTAGAGTTTTTCTTTTTGAGGAGCTAAAATCTAAGTACATATCAAAACAGTGGATAAGGACATAAGGTCAGGAATCCTGCTAGGATCTTCTCAAAAATTTACTTTTGCTCTATTTTTTCTTATTTGTAAAAGAAAAAGATACTTTTCTTGTCTTTGAAGAGAAAACACTGTGGTTTCCCTGTTCTGTTCTGTGCGTCGTCTTGGTCCGCACAGCTGTGTCTTCTGAGGCATCTGCAGTGGGCACCGCCACTCCGGACATGTCTTCCTTGTAGCACTACCTTGCTCTTACAGGTCTCGTTTATCACACTGGACCTTGAGTCTTGTCATTTTTCAAGTTACCCTGTTAATAAATATCCAACATTGGCCCCCAACATTATTTCCACTAATGGTGTCAGAAAAACATGACTTTTCTGAAGGTCAACTTATTTCATTATTATCTTATTTTTTGTTTTTCTTTTGAAACAGTGTCTCTGTCCTCAAACTCTGCTAAAGAAGACCTTGAACTTCTAATCCTCTTGTCTCCTTCTCCCAGGGCAGTTAATTTTTATAGCAGTTTTTCTAAATGTAGCTTTACCACACTGGCATAAAATCTGATGAACTTCAAACTGACCTCAAACACACACCACAAATGGTATTTTGTTTTGCTTTTATCAGATTTCTGTTTTAAAAGTAAATCAAGACAGGTTGTTGGCAAGATGGGTCAGTAGGTAAAGCAGTTGGCACACAAGCCTGGCAACCTGAGTTTGCTTCTTGGAGCCCATGTAAAGGTGGAATGAGAAAACCCAGTGCGCAAAATTGTTCTCTGACTTCCACACACATGCCGTGACAAGTGCACCCACATACATACATGCATATATATAATGATAACTATACACAGAACTTTTTGAAAAGAAGAAAAAGATAAACCTTGAGCAGAAATGAATTCATATTTCCATTTAAAAATTTGTGTGCATTGTGTGTGTGTGTATGTGTGTGTGTCTGCCTGTGCCCACTCACACTGGAGATTGAACACTGTGTCTCATGTATGCTAATCCTTACCACTGAGCTACACTTCCAGCTTATAAAGTCTGGTATGCATGTGTACGCGTGTGACAAAGAGTCAAAGAACCCAGCACTCGGGAGGCAGAGCCAGGCGGATCTCTGTGGGTTCAAGGCCAGCCTGGGCTACCGAGTGAGTTCCAGGAGAGGCGCAAAGCTACACAGAGAAACCCTGTCTCGGAAAACCAAAAAAAAAAAGGTTTATGAAAGGAGAGTTTCCACCTCTACTCACTGCCGCCCTGCCTGGCCCCTAACAGACATGCTGCTGTGGTAAGAAGATAGGTAGATAGGTTTTAATGATAGCAGTGACATGTTTGCTACCCTTTGAACTAGATTGGAGTACAGAGGCTGCAAGTGGGACTGAAGTGTCTCCTTTTGCACGTTCTACTTCCAAGTGTTACAGGCTTATGAAAGAATACTCGGGAAGATGGCGTCAGCCTGGCACTTGGCATTGGGGCAGTTGAAGAAGTCCTGTTGCTCAGATGACCGTAATGCTGAAGTTGTGGCAGGTAGTGACAGCCTGTTGAAGAGCCGCAAGCAGAGGGCGGAGACTCCTTAGAGCCGAGTTCCCCAAGTAAAGCACACTCCTGTTTTGTTCCTTTCATCTATGGAAAGTGACCATGTCCTGGTGATAGACCAGGCCTTTCTTTAATTTTTCTTTAACTTGCTAATACTTGCGTGTGTGGGGGTGGGTACTGTGAGTGTGGGTTCTGGGGATCAAACTTAGTTGTCAGTCTGGGTCATCTTGCTGTCCCTGGGTTTTTCTTACAATATATATGGCTAAAAATTTATCATCAAAGTAATTTTTTTTTGAGACAGGGTCTCTCCATAAAGCCCTGGCTGTCCGGAACTCTCTATGTAGACCAGGCTGGCCTTTGACTCACACAGATGCTTTTTCTTCTGCCTCCTGAGTGCTGGGATTAAAGGCATGTGCCACTATGGCCCATTTCATTGAAGTGATTTTTAACTTGAAGAATTATAGGAAAGAAAATACTAAGGATTAGAGCCCAGAGTGCCATTCATGCCTGGAAGCATGTATGCAAGTCAGGGCTGCTGGTGTACTGTGGTGTGTGTGTGGAGGGGCATGCTCTCTTGTCTGGTCTCTCTGAATGGCCTGCTCAGCCACCAGGAAGCCCTGTTTCACCTTCCATCCATGGTCACGCAGAGTGTCCCCTCCATGCGGCTGCCGCTTCTCAGTGCAGGTGTGACTTGTGACAGTCTGTGCTGCTGGGAAACACCTCTGGGTCACAGCACCCCAGGACCATCTTATGTCTGAGTTTAAGAGTTAAACCATTTGCTCACCCTCTTCCTCAGCTTATCTGTTAGTTGTGGCTGTAGGTGATGGGAGGCTGAGGGTGGAATCGCACAGTGTCACACGTCAGTGCCGGCACACCACAGGCCTCAGACAGTCGTCACTGCTGCCACTGATCCTCTGAACAGGTGCCAAGAGTGAAAGGAGGGCCATTCCGTCCTTGTGGGAGGCACTGTACAGGCACACCCTTTGCACCGTCCAAGCTCTGTAAATAGGACTTCGTATTAAATTACGACCTTGGGCCAGAAAGCAGGTGAAGAAAATCCCTGCTTGTAACTATTGATGCGTAGGGAGAAGACTTGAACGGGTTGTCTTTCATTTGGTTTTGTTTCCCCTCTGTGGCAAGTGGCTATGTCATCTCCTGCTGCTGCGTTTTCAGTGTGGTGCTTTTGAGGGCAAGAGTGCTAAGGAAGTGACATCCGTTAAGGGAC